GTCCAATACTGTCCACTGCTACATTTACAACATTCTTTAAAATTTTCAATATCGTTTAAAAAGCCACGTAAAAGGAATCGTGAATTATCGTACAATAATTAAAACCTCTTGACCTAAAATTGTATATATTTAATAAATATCAATGATGGCTGAGCAATAGTCAGATAAAAATGTATTAACAAAAATTTTAATTTTACGTGTAAATAATATTATATTGAGTAATTCGATTATATTGTTTGGCCAATCATAATAAAATATAAATGCGTGCAGTTGAAAAAAACAACAAAATGTATAATCACGCAGAAATGTTCTATTATTATACAAGCTTGTCGATTGGTAGTAAGATACTACTTTTTAAAAATTAGTCAACATTCTATAAGTGCTAAAGTGAAAATTATTTTAACAGGTAGGTCCCAATGGTATGAATAATTTAGTCTACCGTCTAAATGTCTTAACGTCGATCAACGTCATTTATCTGAGACCGTTTAGCAAGTTCTAATTTGTTTCTCATTTATATACATATCCAAACGATGGCTACGCGATTCGCGTTATTTATGATCCAAACGGAGTCGCCGTGATTTTGTCGTCGGTCCATCACATTCCGCAGGTAAACTGAAGTAGTATTAACATTATAAACTATACTACCAGTATCGGGGAAATTATTCAATCATTGGACGTTTTAATCTATCTACACGCCACTACGATTGCAACCATACGATGAAGCGGATAGTTATGACTTCAATCTTTGTTTGTCTACAGATACCGATGAATGAGTATGGTGGTAGAGTCGAACAATTCACGTTGATTGTTTGTGTCCTAAAATTACAGTTAATAGAATTGAGTGACGGCAGTACACAGTTATGCTTATACTTTGTATTTATCTCAATCATTTTTTTATTGGCTATTGGATTTTATAGGGTTTTGTCATATTTCGATTGTTGTCGAGTTTTTACTTAAAAGGTAGTAGATAGATTTTACATTGACGATAAGTAGTGGCATAACGATAGTGTATGTTAATTGTTTTACGAGTATAATAAATATTTGCGATTCCCCTTAACTGAATTCTGAAATTATGAGAATATTGTAATTGATTTGATAGCTAATATTATATTTTTATCGGCCAATTATGTTTATATATAAAGACTAACTTTTAATATCATAATATTTGATTTCATATACATATATTAAATATATTTTAAACGAAGCTTATGATTTTTTGTAAATTTGCTTATTGTAATAATAAGATTGATATTATTTGTAACTAACTACTTTACTAATAAAGTTTAAATCTTAGGTATTGCATTAGCATATTCTCTTTTGTGGTGTTTGAAGCATTTAATAGGTAAGATATAAAATTGTTTTATGAAAAGGTGAAATTAAATGTAAATCTTATATTATTGCAGCGTAATATTTTTCATAATCTTAATTTATTACATAAAAGTCGTATCTAATCATTTTTTTTAATTTTGTTCAATAATTATTAATGTAATATTCTTATACGTATATACAGCATTTTCACTATTTCTCTCCTATATTCTTAGCTGCTATTTTGGATGATTTTTAGTGTAAAAAGTTCTCAAATATTTTTGTTAGTCATGATGTCAATGTTCTATTATATTCAATAGATACCAATGATATGATGCAATATGAAAATATAATACAAATAAATATTATATATTATCATAGAATGAATTACAAATGATTAGATAATGGCAGATGGTGGCTAATGGAAGTTTTTTAATCTTGTTTGTTGACTCAGTGGCGGTTCGTGCTTAAGTACGATGCATGGTGCAACCCGCAATTTTTAGTACATTTAAAAAAAATATTTTCTCATACTTTTTAATTTTTATAACAACTAAATAGGAATCATGATGGACTATATTTTTTTCGAAATTATTTTAATGATTCAGAATTATATTGTAAAATAATAATATTTGAAGAAAAATGTCATCTCACTCCGGCAATTATTCTAGGGTATTAAGAATTTTTTTTTTTTTTTTGCTTTATTAATAAATACACAATCTATACACAATCGGCACAATAAGAGTATGAGCTTTAGACAATGGAGATGAAATTTTGATTGAAGAAGCCACCCACCGATGACACTTACGTCTTTTAATTATATTGTTAAGGTATTAAGAATAATCTAAAAATTTAACGAAAGTTGAGCGACCAACGCCTGTAGGTTCTAACAGTGTAACGTATACACTGTATACTGTATGGTCCTGTACGGTACTACGGTCCGAGGCACACACAAATGTGTGTTATACTGGTTATATAATCATAGGTATAATCATTATATTGAGACTGGCCGAAACGACGGGACTATAATATTATTTTAATGCGATAATTTTCGTAGCACATTTTCGGAGATGACCTGTGCAGTGTGCACTGTTGTACAGCGTGACGAGCGTACGCGGAATTTGTGGACTTCAACAACGGAGGTCGCAGCGGCGCGGCGAGACTATACTACATTATAGTGCGATAATTATTCTCGTCATACATTTTTAGCGGCGACCTGTGATTTAATATTTACAGCACGACGAATTCGATATTTACGTCTAATAATAGCTAAAGAAATTCTGACCGACAGCAATAATTGTGAAGTACTTGCGTTATCCGTATCAGTGATATTAGAGTTATTATTCACTTCATATTATTCGAGATGTTTATTTTGTATATAAAGTTGACGTGTAATAAAGTAAAATAAAATAAAAATATATTACATTATTATTTATTTTTATGAATATATCTTGTAAATAAATGTAAAACTTTATGAGTAATATAAGTATTATTATTGATCAGTGCCTCAGTGGTGTTGAAATCAAATTATATAGGTGTGGTGAATTATAGATTTAGTATTCATTCTAAGGTCGGTGGGGGTGTAAGGCTATTGCTCATTCATAAAAAATTTTGTCGTACTACCATATAAAACTAACACGAGCCGCCACTATTTGTTGTGATTACTGTACTTAGCATATATTAATTTACTTTCACAATAAAACATCCTTCCCCATGACTATTGCATCATCCAAGCTCACCCAAAATGCGTTCACTTTTGAATTATCCATATTGTACCGTAAGATATGTAACAATGACGTCTTGGCCGTCCTCCACACATCTTAGTGTAGCATAAGTATTATTAACTTCAAAACTTCTTTCAAAGTCTTATTATAGACGAAAGACTACATTTCGTATTTTACCAATTAAACCATGAAACAATAATGGAATGAACCACTAGTTGTAGTCCACGTCCTATATTTATTGTTTCCTGTAAATTTAATTTTATATTTCGCTATATTTATACAAAATATGATGATGTTATTTCTATATAACAAGTAATTTTAATACTATAACGCAAAAACTATATTATAACTTGCGGCGTCTATGAAAACAAATAAAAAACAACGAATGATTTAAACTTTTATTTTATTCTTGAAGCATGCAAACTTTTTTATTTAATTTTATAGAACGCAACTCACGTTTATGGGCGTTTTTTTTTTTTTTTTTAATATTAAACACTGTTAACCGTTATTATAATTATGTGTTATGAAATATTTAGTATTCAATATTGAATTATTTTAGTTATGTGATGAAATTTTATTCAAGGAATATTTTTAAAACATTCCAGATTTTTATTTTTCCAAACATGAATTTAATAGGGGTTTATTTTTTTTTTTTTTTGGGCTTGACCTACTTGATCCACTATAACTGCCAAACGATCATATTTCAACTACTCGTCTCCAAACATTTGATATGCCTACGTATAGTTCCTTCTAGTCTTCACTACAGTGTGTACTACCTAAAAGGTGCGGCTAAATCAATACGTTCCATCTAGATAAAGTTTTTTGATAAAAACGATACAGAGAAGAATTATTTACGAAAATAACCTCGTAATAGCCGCTGATGAGGTCGATTGTAGTCTATTTCTCGGTTGCTACGTATAAAAATACATTATGATGTATCATATATTCGATATTTTTATAGTACCTATATTATTATTGTTTGAAACGATTTTTTAATGTAACATTTCTTTTAGTATTGGAAACTTTTTCTCAATCCAAAGTAAGTTTTTAATACATTTTTTTAAGCGTTGGTCAACTGTCATAAATTTGAATGAATACGGTGATGAAGTTTATGTAGAATTATATTTATATTTTATCACAAATGATGTTACATCGGAAAATAATGTTAATATTGTTTAAAAAAAAGGAATAATTTTTTTTTTCTTGTAAATAAAGTCGTTAATGATCGTATGAAATGGGAAATGTTTGTAACAATCAGATATGGTTATTAATAACGTCGTTTATATTGTTTGTTTTCCACTCAAATAGTCATTACATGCATTCTTAGTCATAAGGCTAAAAAGTTGTGTAACTATAAATGATACAAAAATGAAAATACACGTTGGTATTCATTTTTTTTTTTAAAAAACAGTAACAATATGAAATAAAAAAAATAATATATACAAATTTATAGGAAAATTTCGTTTTTAATGACTTAAAATTATGAGAAAAATAAAAATATTTTCAAAAGCGTCAATGGATTTGTAATGATGAACGTCTTATCTCAAACGGACTTACGATCCGTTCGTCATTGGATATGCGCAGTTGATAGGTAGGTAGGTAGGCCGTATTTAAAATATCAACCAATAAAACATTCGCGGTAACATTTGGTCGACGTTGTTTCAAAATGTACCCGCGGTGCAAATCGTACGAATAAAATAGTAGTGAATCCAAATACATAATGATACGTTGTTATTTGATGATGTAAACAACAGCCGTTGTCGTCTCAAACTCGTCCGGAAGTCGGCAAAGCCAAAACGGACCGACGGTTTTGAGAGTTACGTTCGCGACACTCGACCGACTTAAATCGGCTGACGTGCAAACGCCTCGTGATGTGAGACACGTCTCGCTCAAATCCATCGTCGAAATCACTACCCCGTCACGCGCACGTCCCGCACAAAAACTAAATCCAACCCGTTTGATTCGCTGTTTCAGATACCCTTCGCCGCCGTAGCGCGATCGCCGTATGACGTAGCCGCGGCCGCCGCCATGAAGTTGGACGGCAACATGAACGTGATGTCGCGGAGCAACACGTGGCCCGTTGTGGTGGTCCACCTGGAACACGACGGCGGCGCGCACGAGACCGACGACGGGCCGTGCACCGCCGTCACGGACGACGTGACCGGCCTGTTCGGCGTCGGCGGCGGCCGCGGCGTCGGCGGCCGCGTTAACGGCGTCGGCGGCGGCGACACCGCGGCCGACACGTGTCCGCTGGCGCCGCTGTCCGCCCGCAAGCGGGCCACGCTGCAGCGGCACTACTACCCGGAGGGCGGCTGGGGCTGGGTGATCGTGGCCACCGCGGTCGCCGTCCACGTGCTCAACCACGGACTGCAGCTGTCTGCGGCCGTCATGCTGAGACCTGCGGCCGCCAAGCACGGGCAGCCGGTGGTCAATACAGGTCAGTGCATGTTGGCGAACGTTTTTCGCGCGATAACTACAATAATAGTGATAATGATATTAATATAATAATACCTACGTAATAATAATAATAATAATAAAAATAATATTTTGTTTGATAATATTTTGTGACGACGGTTTACTCCGGTGGAGGGGACGTCGTCGGGCGGTTTACCGACACCTCACCGCCCTTACAGTTGACATTCTTTTGCCCGAAATTTGTGGAAAAATCGACTCTCGAAACGGGGATTTTCGTTTTTTTTTATTTTGCACGCAACCTCTTGTTGAGCTATCACCTCCGTTCTGAGGAGTACATCGCTATAGGAGCAGGGTGTGCGCGTTAGCGATAATATTTTCAGGTTAATACAACACTTGTGTCTTCGCGGATCTCACGAATATTACACGGTAACGATATCTCGTACGTTTATATTTAACGCTTCGACGAGTGATTACATTTGTACTATTTATTTAGTAAAAATAGTCGACGTTTTTTTTCTAATATTGTGCACAGTGCACACGTTACGCGGGCTAAAGCTCAGCTGTGTATAGACATACCTATTTAATGATTTGGATTTTATATAATACTTGTAGTATTAAATTATATGAAGGTTTTATTGGAAATCTGTTTGTAGAAAATTTAAAAGCTTTGATTTGAAAAAAAATTAATAAAAACCAAAGTTTTGAACATTTGAAAGATAGATTGCTCAAAAATAGACCATTCACATTATATAAGAATATTTTTTTATCATAAATTTATATTTAGACCAACCACATTACATAAGCATATTGTTTAGCAATTACGTAGGTTTAGTTTGTTTCGAGTAATTATTTTGTAGAGAATATAGTAATCCAACCCGTAATGTTTTAGGTCTCGACTGTTTTGTAAAAAAAAGTGTTTGGAAATAAACAGGCCCAAAAGTTTTTGAATACGTTACAAGAATTTACGATTCCCTAAAGCTTTAGAGCTGTTGAGTCGCGATTGAAGCTCGTGTAACCGTATACAGATTTATATTATTATAATAAGCCAACTTAATAATTTCATAAAGGCCACGTCATATTATAATAAATTGGTATATGTTATCTGAAATGCTTAGTTATTGTTGTACCACATTGCCGATACGATTTACTTCAATTAAATTTAACATGATAATATTATACATATTCATATACACGTATAACTAAATAGCTCTTTTCGTATAATATGTAAAAATGTAAAATTATGGCTTCAAAATTACTATTATCATATATTATTATATAAAAATACATAATATACTCGCTGTTGGCTCAGTATAGAATACATACGAATAATACTTATTACAAATATTGATATAGAATAGATATGATGGTAAATTATTAAAAATTTTGCATAGAAACTTATTTTGAGTCAACTTAAATTAGATATTTTAACCTTGTCGAGTATTATCAAAAAAATTCAAAACATTTTAACGAGTTGGCTTTAATCAGTATAATTTATATAATATAATTTTTATCCAACTAATGTTGGGGCGTAATAACTAATAACTGTAGTTTTAGCGAACTGAAAAAGTATATAAGATTTTTATGTGGTTTGGATTTTTAAATTCTGATAATTACTATGCATGAAATCATACATACGAAGAGAATTATTAAATATCATATTTATTGAAATATTAAAAGACTGATCGTTTGCTAGTCATAATATACAGGTACCTAAATATTTTATATACAATACTACCGCTAAATCAAAATTATTAATTTTATAATTTAATTAATTAATGACAAAAAGTTATCAGCGAACATTTTTTTGCATTTACGCTTTGTTTTGTACTACGAATACTGAAATACAATTGATGTAAATTGGATTTTAACTTAGCATAATCGTTAATTGAATAAATTGGAAAATAAATTTTTGGATTGTCATCAAAAATTAAAAAGTTATAGTTTTTAAAGATATCGGTAATAGCATTTATAAATATTAAAAAAAGGAAAAATCAATACATATATATCCTTATCATAGAACATTGGATGGAACATTAATTCTCGATAAGATAGAATTTCCTAATTTAACTTGTTGAGATTTATCATTTAAATATGATTTAAACCAGTTTAACAGAAGTCCAGAAATACTGCTATATTTTTGTTTTTTTGTTTTAATAAAATAGATAGTTCTGCATTATTGAAAGCTTTTAAAATATCAGTGTATCGATCTGGGTATCTTTATGAGCTATTGACACATTGTCAGTATAATAAACTATTAAATTTATTATAGTTGATTTATAGTACCAAAAACCGTGTTGTTTATCCAAAATTATACTAGAAAACGCTGCTAACAATTTAGGAGTTATAATTTGTTTTAGGGGTTTTCTCAGCCTCGTTAGGCGTGATATAGAATGATAATTATTGACAACATTTTGAATACTTGATTTAAAAATAGTAGGATAAACATAAATAGTCTTCCACTTATCAGGATAACATCCAATTGATAACTAGCGATTAAACAGGTAATATATGGAACGAAATAACGTATAATAACAATTGCAATAAATTGTTTTTGGTATTAAATCTGGGCCATATTTGTGATCATTAGGCAGAGATAGAGATAGAAAAGCCTCAAATATTTCAGCCACAGTGAACTTACAATTACTAAATTTGGTATCCGAGTTAAAACCATAAATAGGATTAATAGTCTTATTTGACTGGATATAAACCAATTTGAAATATAATTTAAGCGTATCAACTGTTCTCATCTATGCAAGTTTCCGTTGTGTCGTTTGTAATATATAGTGGAACAGAGTTAAATTTATTTCAGTTTTCTGGAAGATTATATATTTTCTAGATGTTTATCATAACATAATTTGATTAACAATGTCATTTGAATAATCGAAAATGTAAAGTATTTAAGTTATATTTGATCGAGATATTATAATATGTATTACTAAATAATTATGGCTAATTCACACACACAAAAAAAAAAAAAAAATAAAATACATTTTAAGAAAACAACGTTCATTAATATAAGTTGTTTACTTATATTTAAACTTAGATTAAAGTATTGAGGTACTCAAAAGTAATAAAGTAATGGATTCAAAAATAAATATAATACAGATCAGTTGGTTTTAAATTATAATAAATTAACATTTATAATATCATAATCCTTCATTGAAACACTTACTACATGACTACATATCAAATGTGATATTTTTTTGGATACAATGTACAAATATGATTGCATGACATATTTATGTCTATATGGTTAAAATATCAATGGTTGTAATTCTCAAACTAGGTTTAAAATGTGATTTAAAAAAAATAGTAAGTTTCTTATAATTTTTTTGTGTGTTAACAAAGTATTGTAATTAACAATTAGATTTTTATCTTATAATTGTTCTATTTTCCTTTATTATAAGCCAACAGTAAATGGTGTAAATGGTGCTAAATTTTGTACAGTATAAAGTTATGAAATATAGAAAATGTTATGATAAGAATTCTAATTCTTATTATTGTCAATTAATGAAATGTTTTGTTTATATCGCATTTTGAAATGTTTAATTAACAAAATAGTTTTACGACCGTTTGGAAATAATACTTTTGTAAAAATGTTATTTTCATGGTAGGTATTATTAAAAATATGAGTAGTAACATATTAATATTATTTTAAATTGGTTAATTAAATGTTAAGAGTTAAAATTTAAGACATTTGGCTAACCACTTAAAAGTATGTATTAACTTGAATTAATTAGAGACATTTACAACGAAAATGTCAAAATCATGGTGTAACCTATATATTGGTTGTTCTTACAAGGGTAAAATATAATAATACAGTTCAGGTGTCGCATGTTAAGGCAAAAACTGTGTGTGATATACTCAACATTGACCACATTTTCGGGAAATAATCAAAACATCTGTAGGCAGTAAATTAATTTGTATACGTTTTCTATTTATATTAACTAACAAATTAAACGGAGAGTGACCACCCGAGTTCTTATGAGAACCTATAGCGCACAGACATACACATATGTGTTCCAACCCTACTAACCAAACCTTACAAATAAACCTTATACAAAAAACCTACTGTTTCTAAGCGCACAGTTAATGGCCTTAGTTGCTGGGCTTAAATAAGATTAAAAAAATAAATAAATAAAATAATCAAAATAAGACTAACAGAATGCATTGAAGAATATTAAAATGATTTATTTGTAAATACATTATTATAATAATATAAAAAGACAATAACCAACAAAACCATTTAAGTACAATAAAAAAACTAGTCACATCAAAACAAATATTTTCACTGATTTTCAAAAATATATGACGTATAAGTTTTAATTTTATTTTTTTTCCAAACTTTTTAGCTTATAATTAACATTATTGCAAACAAAAATCTAATTTTATCAATTTTCTATATATTTTTTATTAATTATAAATGTTATGAATTAAAATGCGTTTGTATTCTAAAAATAGATACACTTTTAAATATTTTAATTAATCATAAATGTATGTAATATTACAATTTATAAATAATTTAGTTTTTGAAAAATATTATTTTTTATGTTTAATAGAAGTAAAAAAAAAACAACAAATCGATATCCTGAGTATTTATATGCGATTAATTTACGGATCTGAAATACAGATAAATCATTTTTTTTTTTTTAACATTAAAAATACATTTTTTAAAACCAGCCTGCTATCAATCAATAATCACACAATCGCAATCGCATCAATTTTATTATGTGTTTTCCTCGACCCCATTCAAATACTTTATCGCATACAAATGATTTAAATTATTATTAGGCTAAAAACGATATATTTTCAAAACACTACATAAACCACGTGCAATGTGGAATTTCGAATTTCAAGTGAAAAATTGGAAAGGTAAAAAATTCAAACATATTCGGTGCTTGCACAATCCAC